GAATTCTGGAAGTGAAGTGAGGGAAGGGGTTTGTGAACTCCTTTAAAAACACAGCTCGAGCAATAAGAGTATATAAGGTACATATAATTTCATCAAACTCAAGCTTTACTAGAAAATAAAGGAATAATTATTCTCAATAGGAGTTGATCATGGCCTAAAATGTTAAAACATTTCAGAGAAAAAAGTCTTTAGCCCATGCAAAGCATGTTACTGTGCACTGTTTTTCAGTTTCTGTAGCTAGTTTTGCTCCATCTTATATGAGATATACTCCATTGGACCACTCTATCAGTGGAAATTATTATGATCTTCCAGTGTGAAATGGACATGAATGGACATGATCCTTTTTTTTTCTTCATTTATTTCAAAAAAGGTTTTCTGTTGAGAGTAAGATTCTTTGTCATATTCTAGAGAATGACACATTACAGCTCAGTGGGCAATGTTTATTTATTACTTACTGAAATGAAATGAAAATCAAACTATGAGGTTTAAATACAGGTCATTCACTGAGTGAATAAGCACTCTACAAAAAGGCATCAAAGATATATTTCGAAAGGATTTTGTAATCTTTCTATTTTTTTTACAATTTTTAAACCTCATGAGCCTTCGGGAATTTTAGTCAGCCGTTGCTTTCTTAATTTTGATTTTGATTGTCTTTTATTACTCTTAGAGTTGTATTTTTTTATACAATAGTAATTAATAAAGATATATTATAGGAAATATAGTTGTAACAAGTTTTGACACGGGAAGACGTGTCAAATGTGCTGGGCACATTGGATACTTTGAATAGAGTAGAAGACTATATGGAATTTAGTCATTGTAAGACAGAAGAAGGTCCGTGGATTCGGTTTGACTAAAATAGAATATTTTGTAATGCTGATAGAAGAGAGACGTTTTTCGTCGAGGCAAGATTTTTACGGCCAAATTGAACCAGCATAAACGAGTCTTGGTCGCAAACCCCAAAGCAAGCCTCCGTCTCTCTGAGAACCAGTGTTATGGTGGCTCCATCGGCTCAAAAACACCACACAAAACATTATTGAACAGAAGATTCTCCATCTACAGAAAAAGTTTGGTCTCGAAAATTTACCTCAGAATACCCTGCGAGCAGAGCCTCCTTTACCTTCACCCGAGTAAGAGAAAGGAAGGAGACTCTTTCCTTTCTCTCACTCGGGGGAAGGTAAAAGAGACTTTGCTCGCAGGGTAACCTCAGAATGGAAATATTACGAAAAACGTATCTCTTTCCCTACACTTCTAAGTAAATTTGCCCCCCAAACAATATGGCGTCGGAAACCGTGAAAGGAAGTATAAATAAACTAATACAAAACTCGTGTGAGTACTCTTTTATGTAAATTATGACGCAGTAAATTCCTCGTCCACCCACTCGTTGAAGGTTTCGGCATGAAAATCCCTTTTTCATAAAAATATTCGACTAGAAATAGATACGTTTAGCTAACCAAAACAAAAATCATTACTTTAGTTAATACAATAACATATAACTCGTTTTTGTCACCAAAAACAAATGTACTGTGCCCATAGGCCCAGCACAAAAAAATCTTATATAATAACAGAGCCTGAGGGCAAAATTAACAGAAAAGTTTTCAAGTTAGCCCCAGTCTTTTGTTTCTGAGCGTTGAATAGATTTCTCCAATAACGAAGCAACTTCTTGCATTGACTACTTCAGATGCTGGAGTATGCGTGTCTATTTTGACGGATGCTATGGTAGCAGCCGTTTCTAGCACGATAGTACTGATTAGTCAAAATAGTCACTCATGCTCCAACATGAACTGGCGAAGAATATAGTTTGATTTTACTTTGTCCACTCTTCAACTGACTAATATCCTTGGAAAATGTTTCCGTCTTTTTGGATAGCTATTATCTGTATCATACTTTTTATTTGGGCGTTTATTCTTTTGTATCATCTACAATATATTCATCTTTATCATTATACTAATGAAGCTTGTGCACAAGCTATTCAAGAGGAGCAAAAGCTTAAAGGATCCACTGATAAAACCCCACCACAATATCGGCGACATGGAAAAGGTAAAGTATTACCTCGATCTCTTTTTATTTT